CTTCTCGCCCGCTACCCTCCTCGATTGGTCCCCGACCGGCCGGCGAGCGTCTATTTTCCTTCTCGGCGAAGACAAAAGAACGATATCGCGTTGTGGCTGACGGTCGCCGGCCGCTCGCTCGCTCGCGTTGCATTCTGTTGCATTCCGCTTCGCTGCACGCGCGTGCGCGCGCGCGAGTGCGTTGCTTGCGCCGCGGTCTCAATCTTTCCTGAAGACATGTTTTTTCTAGCACGGTTAATCTGCAAAGAAAGCTCGTCGTCTGGCGAGTATAATCGGGTGAATTGGACTCTGACAGGGGATCGTCGTCGACATATTTTACGGCGTATTACCGCCGTTTTTATTGATTTTCCGCTCGTATATTTTTTCATCGGATGTCTGATGCAGCGGAACATTTCGGAGATTGCGAACAGGCGGGAAAACTCAAGTGCGATCTTGTATCGCATTGAAAAACTTATGCACTTTTTACTGCAATTTAATATATATTTTGTATGTAAAATGCTTTTTTTTATTCTTTTAATTAAATGTGATATCAATGCAATATTTTGTTATTTATTTGCTTGTTTTAATATAAAAACATATAAAAGAATGAGAAGATGCTGTTTTCTATGATAAAAGATTTTTTTAACTATAAGTCGAATTACAAATAAATACAAAAACTGTTAAGTTTTTATAAATGCTAGCAAAACAGGACTATTGATTTTTTTATTCTACGAAAGAGTGAAAAAAGTCATCGAAAAAGATTGCAAGTGATGAAAACCGAATAGGATCAGCCAGTAGTTTACATTCATTTATTTTTAATTATTGCATATGATATTTACAATCTTTTAATTATTTTTTTCTATATATTCCTATTTGTAATATTCTAAAATTACATATTTTAGAGAAATATATTGTGACAAGTAGTATTTTATTTATTTGCACTTTATATAAATATTTTTCTAATAGAAAATGATAATTATAATTTAAATTTAGTTTAAAAGTTCTAAATATTGAATATTGACTTATTGTGTGTCATTATCGTTTTAATAGAGAATTTTCAGTTCAAATTCTTGAAGACGATGTCGTCTGCGTCACGTGATCACGTTATGATCACAAATAGAACCGAAGCAGTCATCTTGAAAATCTTGACGCAAGAGAGGTCAGTGCTGCCTCCAAAGATTACGAAGAAAATTATATTTTGTGCGTAGAAGCATAATTTTAGATTTCATAATTAATCTCAGATTATATAATACGATAGTTTTGATGAATATCGACGCTCGGCAGTGATTTACGTCTCAAAGATGGAATATTATAGTGATTCAGAGGAGGTCAGTGATAAGGTTTATAATAATGAAATATCTTTACAAATTAACCATATTGTATTATGTAATTAAACCAATATTATGGTAATAAAGCTGTTTTTTAATCTAATCTTATGTCTCGTGTATTTCTTGTTCATTCTTCTTTTTCACTGTTTTATCATTAACATATCTACTATACTATATTCCTAGTTTTTTGTAATTTCTTAACACTTAATATCTACGCAAGACATACATATTTTTTTGTCAAACTATTTGTATAAAAATCTGGCTCGAGACTCTTTATTAGATTAGAATGGCTGTTTTATGTCCGAATAGTAAAAGAATTGTCGAAAGTCGGCTGACTATGATTGGTTTTTATCACTTAATTTCTTTTCTAATTTGATTTTCATTATTTTATTTACACAGATATTGCAAACTTTTAATAAATCTTCTATAATGAAATTGCTAATATTTTCTTTTTCTTTTATTTATAAAATCTGAAATCTTTCATATTGGTTAAAAAACAGTTAAGTTTATGATAACGAATGGCTTTTTTATTATTTTATACGAGTAATTATTTTCGAGGAAGTATTGCTTGATTAATTTATTCTTTTTAATCACAAATTATTTCTCGAATTATCAAAGATAATCCGCATGGAATGAATTTAAAAGCAGTGATTAATCGCAGCGAAAGTTCTGGACTTGTGACAAACGAAAATAACGAAATAACTATCGGCTAAAAATAATTGAGAAAGTGAGCGAGAGAGAGATAGAGGGTCGCATCGCGATTTCCACATATATCATGGCATGATTGGGTTGTTACTCATTCGTTATTCCAACATACTTTGATGTATTGCCGATATTTCGGTCGGCCACAGATATCGAAAACAGAATGCGGAGCAGAACTCCGAAATGGAGCGAAGCGAACTCCGATCAATGTGTAATACGGCGAAATATGTATTCCAAGTTCGGATTGCTAACAACCTGAGAATGTAAACATAGGCTTTTGATTAACGCGGTTTGATAAATCGCGGATACTTCCTGGTACTCCACTTTTAGCCGAGCGTGCGTGTTAAATGGCATGTTCTATTTTATCTAGGTCGATCGTTATGTTAAGGTAACCCACTTTCTTTAGTCCTTTGTGTACTGATTTGCAAGTCTTACGTATATAATTATCCATATTTATTATTAAATTGTTATAAAGCCGTCCATTATAATCTCGTGTAAAGAAAAAGTTCGCATCTCATTATCGATTTTGCCATAGATGACGAAGATGGTCGATTTCTTAGATTCTCTTTTAACA